GAGCACAAAATTGTGAACAAATGATTAGTGCATCAACCTAAAAAAATGAGTTGATTTCATCCTCCAACTAAAAAGTTCTGGTAGTTTTTGTACCAAGACACTCAAGAATTCACCACTTGTCCAAAACAGCTAAACTCGATTGTTTCATCAAAATATGAGTCTTACATTAGAACAAATTCACAGCGAGTTTCACTAAAATACATCCTACCATTCTCTCGTTATTTCAAAAAATATAATTTTTTTGAAGAACTTTGACCATCAATAGCAGAGGAGCCAGACATTTTTTGTTAATAAAAGTTAGGTCAGATCTTCTTTTCATGCAAAGAATATCGCAGTACCCTTTTGATCATGAGCTTACGGGACACCCTGTATAAATACCAAAAATTTGCTTTCTTATTCAATTCTTTTGTATATTTACAATACACTTCTTTCTATTTTTGTATTGTTTGACCCTATATGTATAAATACCTACATTATTGTATTCTTCAAAATTTCAAGCGGTCATTCCAAAATCAGAGTTTTCTTGGAATTATTGTTAATAGATCGAAATTAAATGTTTTTTTTTTCTATTTTAAAGACCTACGTTGTGGGACAGTGTCTGTTTTATATCGTTTAAAAATATCTAGGAGGAATCGATGTAAAATTCGTTTGATTTTGTATGGAAACGCAAAATCAGTTTGATCTGTTTAATATTTTGAACATTTGCAATGCCACTATTTAAATTTACAAATGCGTCAGTAAATAATTAATTTAATTATTTCTTGGTGTCCATTTTAAGGCGAAAAAATCGTCAAGAATAAAGTATGTTTTAGCTTTATATTAGATTTCATTTCTCTCAGCATTTCTGTAAAAAGTGTACAGTCTTTAAGTACAAATCAGTATCAATTTGAAAAATTAACTTAATTTTTGTCAAAAGCTGTGAACTTTTTTTCGTAAAAATCTGCAAATTTAATTTTTTTTGCTTCAAAAGTTAATTAAAGTATCTTATATTGAATCCTCTATTGCATATTATTGTTGTTTACATAGATCCAAAACTGCAGCTTTTGTTCAACATTTTAATTTCCTAATTGAATCGTATATACAAAAACACATTTTCTTTGCCACTTTTTGAAGTTGCTGCACTGACCTTGAAAACACTTTCAGCCGAACTCTCTTTTCCTCATAATTCAGCTTTTCTGAATTAGTTATTCCAATTGTTGTAATTGCGATAAACTTTATTTAATTGTTTTCGTTAAGTGTTTGTAAGCAATATATCGCAAAAAAAGTCGAAAAGACAGATGTATGATAATTCCAATGATAAGTAATTCTCAGAAGCAATTGAGATCAAGAGAGTAAGATTGATCAAACTGATGAACTGAAGACTAAAAAAATAAAAAACTCAAAAGTCATTCTGATACAATCAGTGTAAATATAAACGCGAATACACAGGAATTGGGACCACCACAAGTGAAATTACTTGTCTACTATCTATCTTAGCAGGCATGACGAAAATATATGAAAGTAAAATATTAATTCTAAACCCATTTCCTCTAGTAATAAAAAAATTGCCAATAGTTCAAGCACCAACAAAACAATGATCCACTTTGACCCTCATTGTAAACTAGATTTATCTGGCAGAAATCTTATTTCTACATCTATGTAATTAATACTTCAAACTCTATTGTTTATTTTACACAACGCTCAGGGGCAGGGGGATTCAATTAGTTAGAGTTTGCGGGAAGATTTTAAGTTCATAAATTGTCGATTAATATCTTGTAAAATGGATCAGATATATTTTCTGACTGGCAATTTTATATCAATACTGACTAACTTTACGGGTGTGGAAATTGATGTCAGAAAGGAACAAAGCAAAGTATGTACTTCAATACTACGTGGAAGAAAATACGCAAAGTTCCCCAATTTAAACCGAATTTCATGCTGATCTAATTATTTTGGTAATGATCGGCATCTTTCGAATGAAAACCCATTCGTTTCTTTAGGTTTTCAGAAGAAGATCTTTTAACCCTTAATAAAGTACATGAAATAAGAGGTAGAAACGAATCTTACGGAATATTATTATTGGTGCAAACAAATATTTGCATTTTTTTGGCACGGAAAACCAACTATTAACCCTCCCATTGTTTTTTGGCAAGTTAGTTCAATGACTTAAAAATCAAAATCAATCATTCCGTTGAAGTTGTGCATGCAGTTTTTTCTTGGAAGTATTTTCTCTGGTATCAATAGCCAACAGCCAAAGCGTGGAGTTCATCCTTAATAATCAATCATTTTCCTTAATTGCCGATAAAAAAATGCTTTACAACTGTCACGATAAGTTTGAGAAGCCACTCAACAGCTGTAAAAGCTTTAAAAAAAACAATGTTTTAAGCCATTTCGAGAGTCTCGTGACTAAACTGTCGCTATTTAGAAAAGTTGCCTGTTTATGACATGTGTTTAAATAACTTATTTCACAATATTGATTATTAACTATAATGTGTGATCAACGATAAAAAACCTAAAGTTTTAGATTTGCGTGTTTGTTTTTGAGTTGCAAAATCGACTCAAACATGACGCTGCCTTTTTCGAACTTTCTCAAGCCCCATTTGAGCCACCGAATTCGTTTTAGCATCGGTGGATTGAGATTCAATCACAACAGCATGAGTGAGGAAATTCGAGTATTTTTGACCCAGAAAGCGAAATTTGAATATCAGACAATTAGGTGCAAGATTATGCCACAATTTCATGTTTTCCGTCCCGTTTTTGCTGATTTCTTTCCGATGATCCCCTGCGTATACGTGCAATAAAAACGCTTTCTAGTACCTATCTTTTCTGCAATTTCATCAACGTTTCAAAACCGGTTGAATTGTGAAGTTTTGTGAAGTTGCAGTGCAGTGAAGACAGTGAATTACCGTCTTACTAAAGAAAAAACTCTTCAATTCCATATAGTGTATATATCCAGTGTATATAGAAGATACTTTGATGTACATTTCATGTAAAGTATGTGGGAAATTATAATTTAATCAGGGTCCTGGAGAAGGCACTTTCTAGTATATTTTTTCACTTTTTATCCAAAATCTCCAGAGAGGTTGAGTTGTGAGACTTTTTCAGTGCATCACCGTTAATGAACATTACCAAAAAAATTTCTGAACTTCATATTAAACCATGCAGGTACGTATAGAATAGTGTACAGAAAACACTTTGGGGTTAATTTGCGGCAACTTTCATCAAAATTCAAAGAGACGTTGAATTTTCAATATTTTTTGAAAGTGCAGGTAAAACCAGCAACAAACTTACAAAATAAAATTATTCAACTCCAATGTAAAGCACGTACGGATTTGTAATATCATCAGAGTAGGTACTGAAGGATATTTCCTGCTATTTGCATATTCATTTTCATGACAAAATTTCAATTCCAAATTAATTTCCAAATGAAGGGTGCAAAGTGACTAATAATAAAACTTTAATATTTTAATTTTAAGCTGAATTTCGAATTCAAGGAGGAAATACCAAGTACTCTTAATCACGGAATTTCAAAAAACTTCAAATTCCTACGTCGATTACCAAATAAATACGCACTTTGGGTTTTAAAAACGGATAAATTTACAGAAAAAAATCACTAAAATCCTTTCGGTTGAATTTGTGAAGCAAATATTTTAATTTGTGACTTGATCTCAAGTGAAGTTGTGGTTAATTAGTGATCTGTTTTCCTTTTTCGAGACCTGAGGATGACTTAAATATAGTCGAAACGTTGACCCATGAAAAATAGTGTATAATTTTTGGCCACCACATTGACCGAAAAACCCACAGACCTAAATAGGCATCTTTTACCTAACTCTCAAAATTGCAACTTGAAACTGTACATTCGAGTTTGATGCAATCTGAAAAAAAAATTGTTGTTTCATTAATGCATAATCGTGAATAATATCTAATTCATCTACATTTGATTTCGTGTTATTAAATTTAAATCCTTGAAACAGCTGAAGAAGATTGCAACAAAAGCATAAACTTTACCATTGCTTTGAATAGATAAAGTATGTTAATCTTGAAAATGTGACGCTCCTTAAATCATCATTACTCATTTTTAACTGGATGTAAATAGACGTATCTATGTAACTTAGTTTATTGCTTTAAAAATACATAAATTACATTATTACCCCATTGTACCCGCAAATTGAACAACGTTTGCACAAAACTATACAGTTTATGTGGATACAAAAGCATAACCGATATTATTGTCATTGTTAAATGAATTTAATTATCCAGCCTGCCTGTAAATCTTTACTCGACGTTAATCTTTCTATGCGTAAATGATGTCCTCATAAAGTGTCTATATACTTAACTATACACATCGAATTTAAATATCAGTTTCCTGAACACTCTGCCACACGTTACTTGCAGTTCATACGCTCTAATTCTGATGATTACAACTTTCGAGCAAAAAATTTTTTGGATTTTATTTTCCTTCTTGTGTACCGTGTTAATGATACTTAGCAGTGTTCGATTATGTCAATTGAGTAAGTTCCATTAGACGAAACGAATTTAATTGAATAATTAATTGCCTTAATTAGTTTCTGCATCTTCAAATTAGGCCTAAACCACTTACGATAAGAAATGATTTTATCGGATGATAATCTCGCATTGTTTCCAATCACGCACATAAGCAATACATATGTTGTAATGAGTATTTTGGCTTATTACTTTGAAAAATCTATAATCAATTCGAGCTAGTTCAGTAAATATTGATGGAATTATATTTAAAAAAATGAATTTAGCATGTCATTTTGTTTTTATTGTTTTAGTTAGTGAGAAGTTTTTCGCAAACAGAGATCGAATCGTTATAATTGGTGAAGAAGGCAACTTAACAAGTAAGTTAGATGTATGAGAAACCTACCTATTAAGAGATATTTGGATATTCGTTCACTCGCACATTTAGTACGTGCACGGCCTTTATTATTGGTGACTTCTTAAGATCATTTAGTTTGTGCGATTTAAAAATATATATATTTTGTTGGACTGAAAAGTTCAAACCCTAGTGTTCAACTAAATCATCAAACGATAAAGAGATGAATTCGCTGTTTTTTCAACGAAAATATTTTTTATTTGCATTATATTTATTAATTGTTATTTTTCAGTTATTGACCCACGACGTGACATTGAAAACCCAAACGACTTCTTTACAGTAAAACAGTCATACAAAAATTTAGCACCGCCGTTATATTCAACGTTATCAAAAGCTAAATCGTTTTCTTCGTATGAATTGCCGCCTCCATATCCAGTTGTTCATATTTAATAAATTTATACAATAAAACATTATTCAAATTGTTATTTCAATTTTTTCCCATTTTAAAAACGCCAAACTATTCCAAATGGTTAGTGGGAACTGATACGTATTTATTGAGCGTTTTTACGGGTATTATGTATATAAATCTATGATTTTTTAAGAATAAATTTTTGAAAGAAACTATAATAAAGCAATTCAATTATCACAGGAAAGTTCCGATAGTGTTCAAGCAGAAAAGTATTTAAAAACAAACTAATAAATAGTACCTAATAAGTCCTGTAATAGGGGCGAAGAGCTTGACGATTTTATCCTTGAGTCCAATTCCAGATTTTTCTAAACGATAAGAATCCAGTTTGAAGAGCTTCAATAGTATTACTTTGTTTGATGATGAAATGCGCGTATTGCAAATTAGTTCAGTAATGATAGTTCAGTAATGATAATTCAATCGATTGTCTCTCAAGTTATTGCAATATCGAAACATGTTACTGTTTGTGTCGTTTATTTGTTCTGTTCAAGTATTATAGATCATTTATTACAAATTAGCTCACTAATATTTAGCTAAGTTTGTTTGTCTGGGTTTAATTGCAAAATCGAAATTGTTGATTTTGAATTATTTAATTATTATGGTTTTATTCAAGTACTACTGGCTGTGCGAACGAAAAATGCGAACAAATTGATTGGATTTTGCAAATTTTTTGCCTGATGCGCAATTGATGACTTACATACGAAGCTTTGAACGAATACACCTTTCAAAAACCTAGTTGAAGTTTGAAGGCGGCTTTTTGCTTCCCAACTCTGGCTGGCCATTATTTTCCAAATAAATTCGCATTCTATTCAACAAGGAGAGCTTTAAATAATAAATGTCGGGGAAAAAACGGGGACTGAAAGCCAATAAATAATTTTTGCACTTTAATAACAAAACAATTCAAGATTCTTTCTTGCTGGGTGGTTTTTTCGATTTTCCACTGGAATTTCCTTTATCAGACTGTTCGGCTTCATCAAAAGGATTCTGTGTACCAACCGGTTGCTCTTCATCGGTACTGTCTCTTCTCGCTCCTCGCGGTCTAGCTTTAGCTTCGAGCTCTTCTTTCGTGATCAGATTTGGTGGCACCAAACTATCAGCATCTACTGAAAGTCTCCTTTCTTCATCAGTAACCTGAAAAAAAAATTTGCCTTAAGTGGTACTTAAAAGACGATTGAATTCACAGGATCTAAATATCTTTGTTGTGAGAATTTGGGTCCATTTTTATGGCTAATTATCAAAAAGCGAAAACAACTTAATAATATTTTGTGCTCTGTAAAAATTGGAAGCTCTATCAATTCTAACCATAGAAGCTATTAAAAAGCTATTAAAAAGCTATTAAAAAAAGCGTAAGAAAAATTTAACGTACCTAAAAAACTTAAAGCATATAACGATAGAAAAAATCAAATGTTTTGCAACTTTTAAATGCGTAATTTTCTAGTGTTCTAATAAGCAATAAGAGCATTTATCGGGTAAATGTGATTGTTATCAGAATAAATCGTCTAAAATGTTTAACAAAAATTGGGTACCTAAGTAAGTCCTTGTGATTTATTAATGTTTAGCTTTTAGACAAGAAATGTTGATTAAATCGCTTATATGCTTATATAATGGCGTTATGGCTAAATAATAGTGGCGTTTAATTGTATCTGAGCAACATTTATTCGAAAAGCCATCGGTTTAAGTGAAGTGTTTTTTGACTATAGAATTAACGTAGTTGTTGAAACTGGTGGGTTTAGGGGTTTCAGGCCATAGTAGATAAGAATTTCGTCCTGGTTGCTGCATCCTCTGAAGATGCAATTCACTCGTGCGTGTGAAACGTCAGGAATAAATTATTATCCACAACGGCCGAAAAACTAGTCAGTTTCAAGAAATGGCCGCAAAAGTTTTCTTCATCAACATTTTTTTTAATGCTAACTTGTATGAATGTACTAATTTTGAATTTTCTAAGAAAGTAAAAGATTTCTTTTAAGTTCCACAATATTATACATTTTTTAGAATCAAACTTACATTGAATTGTATGTTTTTAAACAAAGTATATTACGGTACAAGAGACGAAAGTCGCGTTCCCATAAAGTTCCGAGACTGCTTACTGCCTGCAAATTTTGAAAATTACAAAAAACGAGAAAGTTAATTATTAAATGAGTTAATCAAGGATAATATGTTTCGTTTGGAAATTTTGACTTTGTTTATAAAGAAGCAAAGAAAAGAGCATGAAAATGTAACTTAGAAAACTCAAAACGACTAGGGAACAATTTACTTACTGAGCTAATGGACTTCCTGTCCTTGCTGCTTCCAGCTTGTCCTTCTTCGAACAAAAACCACTGATCCATTTTAATCCCACTGAGCCGAATTCGGCTTTTCAGCGGAGCGAGTATTTTATTGATCAACGACTTACACCCGCTGCTCACTTTTGGGTCTTTTGGAAAAACCACTTTGCTCGAAACTTGCTGAAAATTGATCCAGGTATGAAAAATGTATCGGTTTGTTGCCCGGCCATTTTAATGCACTTTAATCAGCTCCTTATAGTTGCTGTCATCAAAAGGAAGCCTGCCAAAAACCATTGCAAATAAAACCACCCCCATAGACCAAACGTCCGCAAATTGAGGCTGGTACGGAATCCCTCGAAGAATTTCCGGGGACGCATAAGCGTAGCTTCCGCAGAAAGTTTCGCTCAAAATAGGCTGTCCATTTTTCGGCTTCATGTGGCCTCGGGCGAATCCGAAATCGGACAATTTTATATTCCAACTGTCGTCCATTAGCATATTTTCGCATTTTATGTCTCTAAAAATGCGCGTTCAAAGGTCGTTTTTTTCCCTGAAAATCTGCTTATTCTACCTGTGAACCACTCCACGATCGTGACAGTATTCTATGGCATAAGTGAGCTGTTTGAACCATTTTCGGGATCTGATTTCATCAATATGTTGATCCTTTCGGATAATGTCGAGAAGACTGCCATTTTCCGCAAATTCCATGATAATGTAAACTCTGAAGTAAAACGCACTTATAATAAAATACACTGCGACGCAAACTTACTTACAATCTAATTTTTGACGAATTTGAAAGAATGTTTTAACGAATATTGCTTGGACAAAACTTATGCTATAAGAAAAGCCATAAAAAACGTAAGAAACAAATTGTAGTGTATGATTTGAAAAACAAATATTCAAATCGCATTGCTGGCTGACAAAATATTCGCAATCAAAAGTTAGGAAAACATGTACATATATTGTAGAACTTGTTATTGATAAATGCTGCAGATCTGTTTTTGTATTTGAGGCGTGAACAAACTCTTCTCCGACAGACGAAGTTCTTAAAAAGGGGATTAAAGTATACTGAAAACAGTAGTCTCAATAGTCTGATTTCCCAACCAAAATGTTCATTTCTATTTGTCTTATATACGTTCATCTTTAATTTTCATTTGATCGAGGACATAACATTGAATCTCTAAGAAATTGCCAATTTTGGCCAATTTGCTGATACTCTGAAACTGATGACAATGAGGAATGAAAACTCTGAACAAAAGATTCACGAAAGAACGGAAAGGAAAAAACTGAATAAGGTTCAAAGGTGCCTATAAACATTATCTTGTTATATAACTTTACATAATCTAAGAGAATGTATTTTAATTTATTTAACATTTAAGCGCCATTTAAAGCAGGGACAAGCATTGGACCAAGTTCTTGCTTGTTCGATTTTGAGTTTTCATTGCTTGTTTTGTTTCTTGAAAATTTGTATATTTTTCCAGACTGGAAATAACAGTTATAACAATAACAATAAAACAACGAAATTCAGAATTTTAATCAAGGATTTTGGATACTTGGAATGCAAGTCTTTTTAACGATCAGTGTTCTTAAATGAATTGTTGTTTTCTCAATTGTTCTTTCATTTTTATATGTATAAGTAGGCATATTTAAAAATTCACAATTACCCTTCCAGTGAGCGAACTAATACTGTGCTCTTAGCTTTTAAAATCCTGTCCGAGACGATTTGAAGGTAATAAAGCAATTGTTAAAAACTGTTTTTAATGAAAATTTGCAAATATTGGCCGATTTTTGTTTGTTTGCAGGAACTTTTAATTATATTTTAAGCTGATCGATTAGTGTTGAAAATCCTAAATTGTTTCGATGATTCAGCTTTCATAGATTAACAGAAGACACAAAAATTAAACCCTAATAACAATAATAGTTAAAAATAAATAAAAAAAAAAGCTGCAAACACTTACCGATGAGTGGTTTCAATAGCTTGCAAGAAACGTATTAAATTCGGATGCCTCAACCCTTTAACCACTTCGATTTCTCTTGGAAGGAACTTTTTCAAATAATCTGCGGGGGCTGAAAATTTGCTTACAATTTTTATAGCCACATTGCCCTCGTGTCGTTCACTGTGGGCCATCTGAAAGCGCAGGAAAATCTCACAAAAACAACGGTTTTTTTTCCTCAAATGTCTTACACGAACAGTTGCATAGGATCCAGTCCCGATACTTTTCCCCAGAAAGTAGCCATGAGTTTCTAAAACTGTGGGTTTTTTATCTTTGGGATCGTTTCCTACTTGAGTGGCATGAGCAGTTTCAAGAGCTGGTGACTGATCAGCACTATCAATAGGGGAAGACATACTTTCACATCACTGATCATTTTACGACAAATTTGAAAATAACAGCATTTTTTTATTTGATGAAAGAACCAAAGTCATACGCAAGGTGACTTTGGCAGACTTTAGGTGAATTTAAAATAAGGGTACATTCATCATTTATAAAAAAATTAAAAAAGCTAATTGGCAAGTGACACCGCTTTTCTTTCGTTGTTTTCTACTTTTTTTGTACTGGAATCAATTCAATTTTGAATTACAAACCAAACTGTTTCCATAAAACTCAGTATCCACCAATAAAATAAAAGTTGAGTCCGGATATAACGAACTTGAAAAATGAACTAAAACTGGTTCGTTGTATCCGGAGTTCGCTAT